GATTTTCCAGCATGCAAATCTGAGCCTATTTTTCTTGCTCAGATTTCTTCAGGAGTTTCACGTTACTTACAGTATAAAGTCTAAATAACAGTGTGGAGGACCAAGCTCTTCCTGAGGTGGCCCCTGCCTTCCTCTGCAGCCTCACTTCCACCTGACTTCCATCTGACTTCCATCTTTCATGTTCAGTTACAGAGACACAGAATTGACTGTCATATAGCTCCTCAAAGATGCCATGCTTTCCTAAACTTCCCACCTCTGCAAGCTCTTCCCTCTGCCTGAAACCCTCTCCCTTTACCTATCTAGTAAATTCTTGCTCATTCCTCAAGCTTCAGCTGAAGTTCAGTGTGAAACTCTCCTGGAATTCTTGGCAGGCTTATGATCTCCCTGTCTTATTTATCCATTGAACTTTATAATGCCTCTACCAAAACAACAAGTTCATTATATTTTAATATTTGTTTCACATCTGTCTCCCTGCAGCAATATTAGCTTCTTGAGGTCAGAGGTTGGATCATCCCATCTTTGGGATGCCAAGCATCATGTAAGAGGCATGTAAAAACTTTGAGCAGTGAGTCTGTGAGTGAATGAATGAATGGATTTGGTATCACTTCCTTCCTTTCAACCAAACATAAAGCTTCAGCTATTCTGTGTCTTGGAATGTGAGTGTTCACAGCTGCAAGCCTCAATCTGATAATACACTTTCAAGAGACCACCCATCTGCATGGAACACACAAAGGCTGAGGTTAAGTGAAGCAAAACCTCTAAAGCAGGAAACATATGAAACTACTTGGGATTCAAGAAATAGAAAGAATGGGAATAAAAAGGAAGTAGGGTAACTCGAGACAATGGATTTGTCTTGGATTTAAAAACACACACACACACACACACACACACCAATAAATATGCCCATTGCAGTTTTTCATATGGAGCTGGACATCTCATTAGTCCTGGTCCTGATCCCTAGCCCATGGTTTTATGGGATATCTGTTGATCCCACCACTAGTGATAGTGATTTTCTCATAGAGGTTACAGTCAACTATCTCCTGTTTTCAGCAAAATGTACACAATCATATAAAAAGAAGTGACCAACATGAGCTTGTCATTTCCCTCAAGGAGATACTTTGACAACTTCTGCAGGGGGAAGGCAAGCAGTCTCAAAGCAAATGGCTCTATTTCCAGGAAAAGTTATGCTGATTTTTCCTTCTCTCTATAAACATATAGAGGACCTATTTCTCTGTGTTGACTGAAATCTGCTTTCCTGTATTTAGACTTATAGTTCAGTAAATTAGGTCAAAGGGGTTGTTGCATTTTAAGAACTATGATTATAAAATAGAGGTTATCAATTAAAAAAGTAGAAATAAACAAAAATAAAAAAGTTAAATTATTTTTATAAAATTAATTGCTAACCAAAGCATAAGACAAAGATCACTTATTAAGTTAAAATACATTTTCAAGGTCATTGTTGTACAGACATCATCAGTGATTTTAGAAAGACAATGTGTTATTTGAGAAAAAACATATTTCCAATATGTTGTGTTCTTTATCCCTAAAAGAACGTGGTAGGCAGTACAAAGAGAGCAAATCTTTCAGAAAGAAACATAAGAAATGTAGACACTGATTCACACAATTACAAGGAGAAATAAATTCCATCCAAGAATTTTGAGAGCATGCCAACAAGAGAAAACTGAGTCCATAAAAGCCAGATAATTTTACAAATAGACTGCTCATTAACTTACAGATATCTATTCATTATAGTTGTATGTCAAATATTGTGCTAGGTTCTGAGAGCACTAAATTTATAGATATAACCCTAGTGTCAAGGTACAGTCTGGTGGCAAAGCAACACGATAGTAACAACACTTTGTTACTGTTTTGGCTGCTTGCTTTCCCAATGGGTTACAGCAAGTTTTATTGCCATCAGCAATTAAACAAGTATGGCAGTCCTACACTCATTCATCAATATTAGCTATTTTAATCTTAACAAAAACAGATGGAAATAAAAACTTTATTATTATTTGAATTTGCATTTTAAAAAAATTCTAGTAATATTAAGCATTTCACCTTATATTTATTTATTGTTGTATTTCTTCCTACATGCATTTTCTGTTCAGATTCTTTGCTCATTTATGTACTGACCAATTTGTCTGACCTCCTTATAACAATGTAGTCATTAATCAATGGTCATATTTTCTCCAAACATTTTAATGACTTAAAACTACTGAAGAGATTTGTCTCAGTGTTTCAATCTTGAAAGTCCACAAGCTACTGCTTATAAAAACTATTCAAGAAAAATGAATTAAAAGTTGGACAAACTATGCAATCTAATATATATTTTCAAGAGACTATTTCCTTACTCTTTTGTAGGACAGTTAAAATTTACATATTCTTTAATACTGTTCTGCATTAATTTTAGTATAGGTGTGCTTGTGTTACAGTGTTTGTAGTTTCTACAGATACATACTGTAAGTAAGGGTGATTTATAGTGATGTGGCTGCCAGATAAGTTACATTATATTTTATTCTAATGTTAACATTTCATAATGCCTTTCCAGCTTCCAATATCATAGTGCTTTTAGAAAATCCATGTGCAAATATTAAAGAATAAGTCTTATTTTCAGACTGCTAATAAGCTTTAACAAAGTTTCATCCACTTCAATGTGATATACAAAACATGACTTGTTTGTTTTAAAATTACGCCAAATATTCAGTCCTATAATGGGGTATTATTTTTGCTTTGCCAACAAATAACATAGTCACACTAATCAAAACAGTAACTCCATTTTGTAAATGTGCCCAGTGGGAATTTGGGAAAATGATCATTATTAATAGGTCACATAAAAAATTAATTGTATTTAGCTATATAGAAAATTATATTATTTATCCTTCCAAAAATATTCAGAAGAATTCAAGGGAAAGACTTCTAGAAAAAAAAAGTTTAAATTGGTACCAGCTAAAAAGTGTAGAAGGATTGAATTAGAAAAATTAGACTTTTTCAACTTACAATGAAATAAATGCTTTTGAGAAGGATCACCAATTAATGTTAAAACCATTGACTAGGAGGTTGCTGGTCTCAAAGATTTACAACACAGATTATATTAAATAAAAATGAAAATATAGTTCTAAAGAAAAGATCCAATAATTACTATCTGAATCACAAGGCTTAGCAGCATCACCAATAGGGAACAAACTGATATATATGCTTCCTAATGGGGCACAACAGCACCTAGCTAGTATTTTTACAAAAAATATTTATTTAGAATCTAATCATGAAAATGATCAGACAAATGCAAAATGTGGGACATTTTATGTAATGTCTGGCAGAGGATCCTTAGAACAGTCACTGTTTTGAAAGACAAAAAAAAAAAAAAGGCTTAAGAGACATTTCAATCAAATGCATTGCATGGACTCTGAATGGGTCCTGTTTAAAAACAAATTTAAATATTTAAATAGTTAAATATTACTGTTAATTTCAGTTATAATACTATATCAATACATAGAAACATGTACTTCTTCCTAAGGTGAAGCACGCAGATGCATACAGAAATTCTTAGGGGTAAACATTATCAGGAATCTAAACTTATTTTCAAATGCTTCCAGGAAATGTATTTATACACACATACATACAAACAGGTTTTTTTCTTTGTTTTGCCATCATATATATGAATTTTAAAAATATGCACTATGCATACTACATGTTCATAAAAAACCTATATTCATTCATATGTATAAATAAAACTACATATGTTCATACTCATTTCAATTAAGGACCTTTGTATCATTCACATAATACTTTTGTTCCAACAATTTTTTTTTCTGTTGGGGGAATATCTAAATTCCAGTTCTTCTAACATGAATAAAAGAGCATCCATATGTGAAACACAGACCACTGGTTTCACAGGTTTTGGTCATTCTTTATTTTGAAACAAGGAGGCAGAAAGCATAAGGTGTTCCTAGAAAAGAATCCATTTTCACAATGAAATTCAAAGAATAAAAAGAGTGATGTTATTTTGGGATGGTATATAGAAATGTTCAATGAAATTAGAAATTGCAGTTGAAACAGTTGTTTCAACTGTGCAGAATTTCATGTATGTTTTTCTTTCCTCTGGTCTTCTTTTTAAAAAAAGTGAAAGGGCTTAATGTATGTACCAGTGAAAAAACAACAATTTTGCATAACACATTTTCAATTATGGTACAGTTGTATTTAAGAACAATAAAATATGAATCAGTCCTGCGAATAAAATGAAAAAAGGACAAATCTATATACCACTTCTTGTATTTTCTCTGCTGGACAATTCTGGAATCACAGAAGAGTAAGAAATTGCACTTGTCAACTTAATCTAGGAAACATATGTTATGAAATTATAAAAGTAATGTGATGATTTGGATGTAAAACAGGAGAATGGAATCTTATTTAGTTTAGGGGATAAAATACTGAGAAATGGAACTGCAAGACCATACATAAAATATTTAAGGACTAAAAAAATACAACCTATTTTTTTAAGTAAAAAAGAAAGATTTCAACTAAAAAGAAGAAGTGAGCTATTAACGAATGATTATGGTCCAGTTGTTATAGTCTAGGCTATAATAAAAAGATCTGTTCCCTCTTCAACTAACTAAGGCAAAAATAAAGATTTTTAGATTAGGCATAAATAAAAATTTATTGTCAAACAGATACATGAGCCACATGAGGTATTTCAAAATAAAATTGTACGTTTAGGGATCTTAAAGATTTATTTATACTGATTCAGGTAACATTTACTTGCAAAGAGGTGACAGGTAAGTTTTCTGGCTCAGGGATTCTGTGACACTTTTTCCCCAAACATTAGAAACAACTTGAAAATTTCATTTAATGACACTGCCTAATCCAAAGTGATTTTACTGATTTATTAAAAGTCAAGAAATGTAAGACAGGCTAAATATTTTCAGTTTGTGTGAGTGGTTGTTATCTTATTGGAAATATACTTTCTATACTAAATTAAAAATATTTCTATTAAATACTTTTAGGGCTTGATGATACTTTCCAGACATAAAAAATTGAAGGAACTTTCTCTAGCTGAGTGTTATAAAATCACTGACAACGGAATTCGGGTAAGGTAATTATATAATAAGATAAAAATAATAAGGTTTAAAAAAAAATAATAAGGTTTTCTGTTAAAGAGTTATTATTGAAAATTCACCACAAGTTGAATAAACTTTTCAGATCACAGTAAAAAAAATGAATTGGAAATGTAACAACACATGTGATCTTGGTTGAGCTAAGATCAACACCAGACTTTAAATTAGATGTCCACAGTCTACTGTGACTTTAGAGGATTCATTTTCCTGTTTTTTCCATTGTACTTTCTCCCTTCCTGATATTAGAATCATAGGTTAAGTAGGGATAGGTAGCCATTTTACTTAGAGAATGATGGTAAAAGTCTTCTATGAAGAAAGTGTTCTGAAGAGAAAACTGTTATCTAATCTAACCACAAAAATTAAGGAAGTTTAAAAAATTTACTAGTTACTTAACAATTAGGAATGTAAGTTACTCAAACATAGTTGGAAGTATACTTTACTAGCATGGAAAGCCCAAAGATAAGTAGTTGGATAAGATAAATGATTAAGTGTTCAACTGGTACTTGAAGAACTTATGAGGATGGTATATTTCCTAGATCTGGTCTTGAGTAACACGCAGGAAGACATAATGTAGCTAGTGCAAGCAAGTTCATGCAATATTTATCACAATACTGAACATTCAATGTATTGTTAAGAGAAGAAAAACCTAAATCATATGGCATACATGTACTGAAAGACCACATAAAGCAGGTCACCTACTAGTAAAATCATGGAAGGTAACATTTTAAATGGAACCAATGTCTAGGCATGTGGAAAATGAAGCTCCATTTTAATTGTCCAGAGAGTTCAAAACCACAACCATCTATGAAACTTGGGGGTGGAGGGGTGAGAGAGAAAAAAGAAACTCTCTTACTAAGATTAAAGAATTTATCCCATACATGAAAAATAAAGCAAGTGATAGTTGAGAAATCCACAGAACATGGCAAACAAAGTTGTCTTTCATGAATTTGAAATACTTTATAACATAACTTATGAGTGTTAAAATATATACACTGATGGGCCAGTGTGTGTGTGTATAATACACATAAAATATATACACTTGATATGCTTTAGATTAGCGTATTCTAGAATTCTAGAGCTGACAGAATCTTAGAACCATCTAAACCAACTCCCCAGTTTTTACAGATGAGGAAAATAAGGCCCAGCGAGCTTAAATGACTGATCCTAAGTCCTGTAACTTCACAACAAACTAACTATACACACAAAACTTTATCCATAATTATGACCTCCTCAGGTTTTCGAGATATCTTTGACAAGGTGCTAGAACAAGGATTATTTAAATAAAATTGTTAAATATTTCAAATATTGGGTTTTATTTCATATATGGTGATTAATTACATTTGAATAATAACTATAAATCATTTAGAAGTATTGAAACCTATCATGAATAATGACATGGCTGCTTATATTCATCATTTATTACTTTTAAAATGTTACTTGGGATGAGAGAGTGCTGAACAAAGTCTGAGGCGCTCTGCCATTTCTCTTTGAGTCTATGGGTTCCAGGCATTTTTAGTTTCACTCTTTGGAGACTGAAAATTATACTATTTATAGGTGCTTTGAGATTTCAAATGAAATCCATATGCTAACTATATAATTGTACAGTAGAGTTTGGGATAGCTTTTAAAAAATGTGATCTTTTGAAACTTGATATGCCTTTATATTCAGTGATCTAAAGAAGAAAACACAGGAAAATGGGCACATGGAAATTAATTACATGTTGCACAAGATCAGCTGTTCTTTTCAAGTTTGCTAGGAAAAAAATGTACTTTTTCTCATTATCCCTCTCTCATGCCTGCTTTTGGAGAGAGAGAGAGTGTGTGTGTGTGTGTGTCTGTGAGAGAGAGGGAGAGAGAGAGAGAAGAGGTTTTTAACCAATTTTATCTCTTTCAGTGTTCTAAAGTTCACATTTCTGGGCATGTGATAATATCCGCCTCCTTGCCTTCGCCAGTCCAAATATTAAGTCCCAAAAGAGACAAAGCGGGGCGGGGGGGGAGAAGAAAGTAACATCTAAGACAATTCTATAATTCCTTATCTAAATTTATAGAAGAGAAGGAAATGGAGTAAAATAAACTGATTAAAGTGAGACATTTAGACTATCTACAATTTACTGAAAATTTTCTCTCTTGTATAGTTACTTCATAAAAGGTAACTATAGGAGATTCTCTCTTGAATACAAGACATTAAAAACTTCCATGTACGTAATGATTTAATAAGAAAAATGAGGAGATAAACATTTTTACCCCGTTTAAGTTTTGCAAGAGTTATGAACATAAGAATAAAAAATTACCTCATTTTAGTGTTTTACTGGAAACCACAGCATATACAGATTGATTGCCTGGAGCCTCAGATATACTGACTTTTTAGGATCTGGATTTAATTACTTTCTCCAACTTTATTTTTTTCTGAGAATATTAGCTATTTAGTGATCATGTCAAAAAAATTTGGTGCTTTTGAAAGGCACATGCATTTTGGAAGAGATGTTTGATACAGCTGTAATTAAGTATTTCTCAAGAAACTTTTCCTTGTGCATTTTATTAAGTTAATTAGGATTGCCAAGTTTGGCAAAATAATTGGTTTAATTGTTATTGGAAGCTGTCTTAAGTTGTCTGGATAGAAGCAATAGAATAAATCCAATCATTTACTTGGGTTGCTTTTTATATTCCCTTAATCCACCTTGTATTTTCTCATTCCCTTTTTGGGAATGAGATATGCTATAAATGTGAATCTGAATGAGCATGTTTTTCTTTACACAGGTTAATTGTGGTGAAAATTATATAGCCAGGCAAAAATATTTTATTATTTTGGGGTTGGTAGGTTGAGATAGCTGACTAAGAAAGGGTATTTACAAACTAATAACAAACCCTAGAAATCTGACTGTAGAACTGAGGTCACCAGAGAGGGAGGGGCAAGAATAAAGTGGGAAGGGCACACAAAGGACTATATAGGTGCTTGGGTAGTAGATAACATTACCTGAAGAGGAGAAACCTATACTTCTCAACACAAACAGCACTGTAACCCAATGTCACTCAATCAAAAAACAGAAATTTTTTTTTTTTTAAAGGAAAGGGCATTTAGAGAGGGGAAAATCAGTTTTGCAATGACCTACCACTAGGGCTTAAACATGTGTATATGCTACAAAAATAAGTGTATTTTTAATATGTAAATATCTATGTGAATACATACCTACATTTTACTACATGTACAAGTTTTAGCATGTTAGATTTATGTTTACATGTGAGTATATGTAAATGTATATCTACTCGTCTAATATGTGTGTAAATTAAACATGTTATAGTGCACACACATGTCAATGTATATGTACATTTATTATGCCAAAATTGCATATAGAGATCCATAAGATTATATATTCTTAGGTTAAATCCAAATAAATGGTGATCAATATTCAAAGCAAATAAGAATTACTCTGTTAAAGAATTACTTCTATGCTTATACCTTAACTAAAAAATTAAATGTCCAAATTCCTACAACTCTACAATCACCCAAAGCTAGATAAAGAAGAAATAGAACACCTAAACAGACCAATTACAAGCAGCGAAACTGAAATGGTAATCAAAAACCTCCCCAAAAATAAAAGCCCAGGACCTGATGGATTTACAAATGAATTCTACCAAACATTCAGAGACGAATTAGTGCCTATCCTTCACAAACTCTTCCAAAAAATTGAGAAGGAAGGGACAATACCAAACACGTTCTATGAAGCCAACATTACACTAATACCAAAACCAAACAAGGACAACACAAAAAAGGAAAACTACAGGCCAATCTCCCTAATGAACACTGATGCAAAAATCCTCAATAAAATTTTAGCTATCAGAATCCAACAATGTATCCATAAGATAATTCACCATGACCAAGTAGGATTCATGCCAGGGACACAAGGATGGTTCAACATCCGAAAATCAATCAACGTTATCCAACACATCAACAAAAAGAAATATAAAAACCATATGATAATATCAATAGATGCTGAGAAAGCTTTTCACAAAGTGCAACACCCATTCATGATAAAAGCCCTTGAAATTCTTGGGATACAAGGAACATACCTCAACATCATAAAGACCATATATGACAAGCCAACAGCCAGTATCATTCTCAATGGTGAAAACCTGAAAGCATTTCCATTAAGATCTGGAACAAGACAAGGATGTCCACTCTCACCACTGCTTTTCAATATAATACTGGAAGTCCTAGCCAGAGCAATAAGGCAAGAGAAAGACATACAAGGAATCCAAATACGAAAAGAAGAAGTCAAACTATCACTATTTGCTGATGATATGATAATATACATAGAGAATCCCAAAAACTCTACAGAAAAACTAATTCAACTCATCAATCAGTTCAGTAAAGTGGCAGGATACAAAATCAACACGCAAAAGTCAGTAGCCTTCCTATATACAAACAATAAATCTGAAGAAGAAGAAATTAAAAAAACCCATCCCTTTTATTATCGAAACAAAAAAAAATCAAATATTTGGGAATAAATCTAACAAAAGAGGTAAAGGACCTATACAAAGAAAACTATAAAACACTGTTAAAAGAAATAGAAGGAGACACAAAGAAATGGAAAGACATCCCCTGCTCATGGATTGGAAGAATAAACATTATTAAAATGGCCATCCTTCCAAAAGCAATATACAGATTCAATGCTATTCCAATAAAAATTTCAATGTCATTCTTTAAAGAAATAGAACAATTATTGATGAAATTCATATGGAATCACCAAAAACCCTGAATAGCCAAAGCTCTCCTGAAAAAAAAAAGAAGGGAATGGAGGCATCACACTCCCAGACTTCAAACTATACTACAAAGCCGTAATCATCAAAACTGGATGGTATTGGAACAAGAACAGACACACAGACCAATGGAATTGAATAGAAAATCCAGAAATAAACCCACAGATTTATGGTCAACTAATCTTTGACAAAGGAGCAAAGACTATGCATTGAAGC